TGAGAGCAACAGGCGCAGAGGTGAGACCAGGCTGGAAAGATGGGTTTGTGTGAGCTGGAGACTGTGAGAAGAATCTTCAGAGTAGACCACAGAAATCATAGGAAGCAACTTGGGAATCACCTGGTTCTGCCACCTCATTTTATAGACAAGAAAATTGAGTTCACCTGAGTTAATGATGTGTCCAAGGTCAGAAAGGTAGAGAGAGGCCGGTATGAGGCTGGTATGGGGCAGAGGAAGTCCCTAAGCTTGAGGCAGAGGGTGACCTGAGGAATGGAGGCTTCAGGGAGGTAGATCTGGAGTCCACAAGGATCATGGAGGAAGACAGTAAAGGTCATAGAGGCCCAGAAACCACCAGGTTAAGGGTCATGATAAGAGAGGACACAGGAGGAAGAATAAGTGACTTGGGGAGTGTGTGGATCAAAGGGGAAGAAAGATGAGAAAGAGTAAAATCATGACCAAACTTCTGAATTTGGGCAGCTGGTCAAATGGTGGTTCCATTCTCAGGCTAGTAGGGAAGGGAAGGAGTGTACAGTGAGTGGTCAGAAGGCTGGGCAGCTGGGTGGGTGGTGGGGTCACCATGAGGGATGTGAGGCTGCAGTAGCTCTTGGCTTGCCTAGGTAAGTAGCCAGCCAGAGGGCCAAAAGGAGAAATCCTGCCACCGGGGAAACTGGACCCTTAGGAAGAGTGGGACCCCACCCTCAACCCTCATGCAATGGAGTGGGCCACCATGTCTTTAGCTCCAGGGTTTGCCCCTTGCTTTCATCTCAACTGTTCCTTAAAGCCACTGGTCTCATATTTCCCAATAGCTATTTGAAAGTGTGCACAAGGACCGTCACCATCAGATGGTTGGTCCTTGTGCACATGGACTTCACATGGACTTCTGCACATGGACTTCAGTTGCACCCACATTTCTGAGAACAACACAACAACAGTCTCCACCCGACCTAGTCCAAGGACTCCTTCCCCTGACAAACTCCAGGCAAAGCCTCCCAACTCTCTCAGGAGCCCCATCCCAATTTTTCCAGGTGTATGGTAGACCTGTCCATGTGGGTATCTCAAAAGGACCTTCAATTCAACGTGCTCCCAAAGGAATTAATTATCCGACACGGGTCTTCTTTCATTCTTGTTCGTTTTCTAAGACCTTTTCCCTGTGGGTTTCAGTCAGAACCCAGGGCCATCCTCTTTCTCCTGCAGCCTCTAGTCATGGAGGCCTGATATTTCATTCTCCTCACCTCCATTCCCACTACCCTATCTTGGTCCAGACCCTCTGCACTTTTGTCCTGGGCTCCTGAAAATGGTCTCTGCCCCTTCCATCCCTTCTTCATGCTAATTTGTCGGCCTCCTTTCTTTTCCCTCCCTGGCTTGCACCAGAGTTCCCCCAAGGGTAACAATGGGCAGCTCCATGACCCTGTCCAGCATCCTGCTCCTTCTTGCCTCTGTCGTATTTTATTCTCTCTGGCACAGCCTGGAAGGCACAGCCTCTCCTGTCTGCCTGGCTCTGTCAGGGAGCATCTCCCAGCCCAGCCTCACTTGAGTTAAGTGCGTCCTCTCTGTTGTCCAAGTGCTGACCTGGCTGTGGCTCACCTGTCCATCCTGTTTTGTCTTCATTGTCTCAGCATCTGGTGCAGTTTCCGGCACAGGATCTGTGATAGGCAATATCTGGTCAAAGTAAGAGAAGGAGTGAAGAGCGAGGGAAGGGTCCCCGCAGTGCTCCGTCACCGGGCCTGTTCCATTCAGAAGGGTCGTCTTCCAGGGAGGAACAGAGGCTGGCTCTGGGGTTAACCACCCTCTGGACACTAGCTGCAGGTTTTGGGAAGAGATTCTGCTACACAGAACGATAGTTGGATCCAGAATGGAACCTAGGACTTCCTTAGGAGACCTTCTCATTTTAGGGTCAAGGCTCAGAGAGGAATGTCATGTGACTGGATAATGAGAAAGTCCCTAGAACACAGATCTGACCTCGTGGTCCTTGGTCTTTCCCACACAACTTTCTTGCTGTAAATGGAAGATTATAAAATAAGTACTATAAAATCGGTGGTTTTAAAGTGGGTGGTTATTTTGTGGTTATGAAATAAGTGTTTGTTATAGAAAAACATGAATTACATAAGGTCACTGAAGTAAATATGGATTAGAGAGAAAAACAAAGAGAATAAAATAAGAACTCTAGGGAGAGTCTTCAACAGAGAAACTTCAGTGTGGCTTTTTGGATTGCAAGGAATAGAAACCCCCTTGAGGTAGCTCAAGCCAGGGACCTTGGTGATGGCTTCACAGAAAATCTTGTGGTAATCTTAGAAGAGGAAGCTCTCTTGGGATGGCTTCTAAGGAATAGTTTTGGATTCAGAGTATATCTAAGATCCAGGAACCAAAAGCTCAAAATATCTCCTCTGGAGCCCACTGTTCATACAACTCAGTTCATTCCTGTGTCTGCTTTTTTCTTTTTTCCCTGAACACTTTTCACAGGTACTAGTTTAAACACCAAGAGAAAGACTCACGCCACCCCAGCTCATTTTTTCAATAGACCTCAGATTGGTGGACATCCTTTATACCTGTCTTGTGGGCAAGAGAGTCACATTTAGACCTCTTTTCTTAAGCACTGAGGATTTTTGTGTCTATACTTTTTGTATCTATACAAGGCATTTGCCCTGTCTCTTATAGAACAGCCAAAGACAATTCTGGCCTAAAAATGGTGGTAGTAGTAGTAGTAATAATAATACTAATAATAATAATAATAATAATAATAATAATAATATTTCTGTCACCATGACAAAATACCTGAGCTAATTATCTTAAAAAGGAAGAAAGGTTTATTTTGGCTCACTATTTCAGAGGTTTCAACCTACAGACAGTTGACTATTGTTTTGGGTCCTGTAGTGAGGCAGTACATTATAGCAGGGGCGCACATGGTAGAGAAAAGCTGCTCACCTCATAGCAACCAGCAAACAAAGAGAGAGAATGTTTTCTAGTATCCTCTTCAAGGGTGAAACCCCAATAACCTAACTTCCTTCCACTAGGCCCCACCTCTTAAAGGTTCCACCACTTCCCAATAGTGCCACAGGCTGGTAACCAATCCTTTAACACATGGGCCTTTAAGGGACATGGGCCTTTGAGGGACATTCAAGATACAAACTATAACAATGACTAAAATGCACAGAACATGTACTGCTCTAAATACTGGACACATGTAGCCTTTGTTTTACTTCTCACTCTACAAAGTAGACACTGTGATGATCACTGCCTTGCAGTTGAGACATCAAGTACTATTAGCCATACAGCTTCTTCTCTATACTGACCAAGTCAAAAGGAGGTACACTTGTATCTCTCTCTCTCTCCCAGTCAGCCCCCATCCTGGAGAGGATCATGGGTCTCATTCTGGTTGCTCCATTTAAATGCTGCCTGCTGCAAAATCAACCTTCCTCCCCCTTTCTCTCCCACTCATCCAGATCCTCCTCCACTCAGTGCATCTCTGGTGTTCTTTCCTCCCCTTCACCTGACCCCAGAAAAGCCTGTTTTGGTTTGTTGGTGTGTAGAGTGTGCCATTAGTGATGGGGTCTTTCCTCCAGGCAGACTACATTCTATGCACCCAATGAAATAAAATTTCAGGGCACTAATAAGAAAGTCTTCAAAGAGTTTCATAGGCTGTAGTATCTATTCTTTTCTACAGCATCCAAGTATCATCTGGGTTTTAAGACCTTTGAGCCTACTCTCTAAGCAAGCACTTTTAATCACCTAATAATCCTGAAAATGGCAGTCCTCCTTATGACAGAGGACAGAAGACCATTGTTCTAGCCTTCAGTCAAGCCTCTTGGAGGTATAACTGGTCTACCCTCTGTTACTTTCCCCAGAGTCAAAATTATGGGCAAGATAAAATGAGATGACAGACTTCTTTTGCCTTATTTTGCAACCAGAGATGAGGTCCTCCAAATTTTCTGTATTTCCCAAGGATACAGCAAACAAGATCTTTAAGTGGATGAAGTTTAAACAAGTGACTAGCAGGTGACACTCTAAGTATAGATACAAAAATCCTCAGTGCTTAAGAAAAGAGGTCTAAAATCTATTATTGGTTCTATTTCCTTAAGATGGAAATATTCACATGGAAGAATCAGCAACTGCCAGCACCTTTGGGGATTTTCCTCATCAGTCCCCATAATACTATTATAAAATTAACAGTAATCTGGATTATTGCTTAAACATCCTGTCATTTATATCTAATTACCATGTACTATAATAAAAATTATCATGAAGTGCATGTCAGATTCTCTTTGTTGCAGACAATCCTTCATATCCATGAATTCTGCCTTAATACTTTTATTCTTCCTTATTACTTTGTGTGTTCAGAACAGAAAATACTTAGGGGGATGAATGTTAAGTCCCCCCTTTTTTTGTGGTGCTGGGGATTGAACCCAGGACTTGTGCATGGAAAGCAAGCTCTCTACCTACTAGATATATATAGGGGAGCTATGTCCCCCAGTTCCCATTTCTTTTCTCATTTTTCTTTCTTCTTTCTTTTTTTAGGGGGTGGGTACCAAGGATTGAACTCAGAGACATATGACCACTGACCACATCCTCAGCCCTATTTTGTTTTTTATTTAGAGACAGGGTCTCACTGAGTTGCTTAGCGCCTTGCTTTTGCTGAGACTGGTTTGAATTTGTGATCCTCCTGCCTCAGCCTCCTGAGCTACAGGGATTACAGGTGTGCAGTCACCACATCCAGCTCTTTTTTTCTTTTCTTAAAGCAGGTGGGAAGGGCTCAACTTCGTTTCCCAACTTGGCCAAGTAAGAGAGAGGGTCTGCTCCTACACCTCAAAAAAATCTCTCCTATCTTTAGGAGTCACCTCTGGGAAGGTGACCTCTAGGCTATTCATGAGAATTGCACGAGGAGTGGAGTGGTCCCTTCCAGAGACCCCTAATGGTTCCCATCTTTGGGTGGGGCCCACACAGCATCCTGAGCCCAGTCGGGATCCTGGGGGAGCCCATCGTGCTTTGAGCTCACACGTGTCCAGCTGCACTTCGGCCTGGGGAGGAGCAGGGGTGGCCTGGAGCCCAGCCCCCGGCCTGGCTGCTGCGGGCCTGCCTCACGCGGCAGAGCATGCGCAGTCACTCCACTGGTTTGGAAGAGTTGGCCCACGGGAAGACACCCCCACACCACACAGACCTGGAGCGGAGGCTGAGGGCTGAAAAGGTAAGAGGGCTGCGAGCAGGCAACACATTTGCAGGCCAGGGCGGACTCTCAGGCAGGGCTCTGGACTGGGCTGGAATCTCCCAGACATGGCCAGGAGGTGAGTCACCGCAGGGACCCAGTGTAAAGCTGGGGTCCCTCTCAGGTGTGTCGTGGTCTCCTCCCAGCCAGGTCCTAACCTCTGCTGTTCTGTAACCATCTCCCTCCCCTGGCACACCTTGAAGAGCATCTGTCACATCACACCTGGCTTCTACATGTTTCCTCTCTCTCCTTCCCAGGCCTATCAACATTTTCAATGTCCAATTCTTTTTCAGTTCCAGGTTTTTCTTTCCAAGGTGGCAATTACCCTTGGGATGAATCAGAGTCATGATAATAGGTAATGGGTATAAGTCAATTCCAGTGATCCATTTCACTTGATTTCTATTGGGCAAATATTTATGGAGCAATATCATGAACTGAGCCCTGGAGAAAACTCAAACTTAACAAAATCTAGCCCCTGGAGGCTCTACCTAGCTAGCAGTTTTTTCTCAAAGGTAATGTTTTTAGGTAGTACCATGATGAGATTTAAAAAAAATAATAATAGTGTATTTGTATTCATGTGCTCTCGCAATATAACAAGCACATCAAATATATGATTTCATGTTACTCCTGTTTAGAATGAAGCTAAAGAACATAGTATGTAAAATAAGCAAGGCTATTTAAAGAAAAATAGTAATAACCCAGAAAGGGCAAAATCTCTGCAGAAGATGAGCTCATGGTAATTTTTCAGGAGCAGGAACTGAGTAGGAGAGGAAAACTTATGTCCAAAGACACATGCTCCTAATGGAGATATGAGGGGGAAGCTGCTTCTGCCTTGGGGGACATGGAAGGCTTCATAGAGAAGGTGACACTGGATGTGGGCCTTGAGGATGGTGTGTTAGTCAGCTTTTCATAGCTGTGACCAAAATACCAGGCAAGAATAACTGGGAGGTGGAAGAGTTTATTTTGGCTCAGAGGTTCAGACCCTGGTGGGCTGACTTCTCTGCTCCTGAGGAGAGATAGAACATCACGGTGGAAGAGCTGGCTGAGGAGGGCTGCTCTGTGCTCATGGTGGTCAAGAGGGATGTCAAGGCACCAGGAATAAAATGTAAACCACAAAGGCATGTCCCCAGGGACCTGTGTCCTCTGATCACATCCAACTTGCCTATCTTTACCACCCAGTACAGTAGTTCTTTCAAATTATTAACATACCAAATGGACAATCTACCAACTAGGTTACAGCTCTCATTCCACCTCCGATCACTCCTGCATTTTCTCACACATAGTTTTCAGGAGACAACTTATATCCATCTTCTGGCTAGGGAATCTTCTACTGTGGTGAGAAGTACATGGGGTCTGGGGAGTAGGAAGAAGGTTCATGCTGAACAATGATAAGGAGGTAAGAATTAGTTTTTTTTTTTTCTTTAGAGGACAATATATCAACAGGGCCTCTCCCCAGGGTAGGGGAAATAAATCATGGGTGAGATCAGTGGGGTCAGGAAATTGACTTGCTGGGATATGACTGGCATGTAGAACAATTTCAGACAACAGTTAATGTTAAGGCACATCTCCCAGCCCAAGTGTAAGCAGCATCTTGTGAAACTTTTGTTTTCTGAATGTTGAGTCATGATGTGAAATGGGTGGTAATAAAAAAAAAATCTGAAGCCTGTTGCTTTCACACGATGAGACTTCCAGCCACAGTGGACCCTCAAGGGAATCTACTTCTGATCACCTCTTGAGTTAGCACATACAGAAGGCATCCACAGAGGTTCTATTCCATTCTTCCCTTTGGCCTTGAAAACTTCTGCAGTCTGGGATTAAGTAAGGAAGTTTTGGTGATCTTCAGAGGATGGCAGATCTTTGTGGGGCATTTTGTAGATCAGGATGCAATTTTTTTTTGGTAGTCAGCCTGTGGTTTTTTATATAGCTTTGTTGACATATAATTAATGTACAATAAACTGCACCTGCTCAAAATATACAATTTGATGAATTTGGACATATGATTACACCTGTGAAACTAGCACCACCATCAAGGTAATAAACGTACCCATTTCCTCTGAAGGTCACCAAAACTTCCTTACCTGTGCCCCGTTTATGTGCATGGTAAGAACACTGAGCATAAAATCCCCCTATGAGAAACTTCTAGTGCACAATGCAGTATAGTTGACTCTAGGCATTATACTGTACTATGGAGCAGATATTTGTGCAATGAACTTGTACAACTGACACTTCATAGAGATTCCTACAATATTAAAGAATAGAACTACCATATAATCCAGCAATTCTACCATGGATATAAACCCAAAAGAATTGAAGTCAGGATCTCAAAGAGATACCTGAATGACCCTGTTCATAGTACCGTTGTTCACCATAGCCAAAATGTGGAAGTAACCTAGCCTGGGTTTTGATCCCTTGCTAATTGGATTAACCAGTACAGGGAACAAGGTTTCCGAAGCTACATTGCTTGTTGACTGGACTGGGTTTGGCAGGGTGCCTCTAAGGCCTGAGGCTCTTCTTTGCCCTCTCAGAAGGGTGACGGGATCTGAAGCTCTTGGTGTGAGGTATGTGTGGGCTAGTGCAGAGTCCAGGCTGTGTGAGAGGATGTGGGATGATTCCACTTCACAGTGAAAGGATGGCCTGAAATTGGCACGTTTAAATCAACTGCAGAAAAATAGGCACCCAGCAGCTATTTTTAATTTGTGTTAGAACATACAAGAGCCAGCGTTGCTCATAGAGCAGAATATTGGCTTTGAGTATAGGAGACGAAGATATCCTCAGCTTTCCCACTCAATTATTTGCTGACAGACAGTGGGAAAGAGCCCTGGGGATGGACCAGGCAGCAGGACTGGCTAATGTGTGAGCTGCTACATGTTCATTACCAGCATCTCCAGACTCATTTCATCTCTGAGGACCTCAAACTTGTTTCTCCACCCCCCTTGAGCTGGTTCCTTCATATAGTACTCCTCCCTTCTTCAGGGCCTGCTCCCAGGAAAAGTTCTAGAAGTTTCTTTCTCAGTCTGGGGTAACAGATTGATAATTTACATTTACTTTTGCAGACACTTTTATATTTCAGCAAGGCTGAGTACCTAAATGGCCAGGAGTGCAGGTGCAGTTGAACATCTGGAACATTCCGTGAGAAGATCATCAACTTGATGACCATTCTTGACACAGTTAAGCACAACATGTAGTGGCTGGTGATTCTACTCTCTTAGTCTTGTGTTAATATAACAAAATACCTGATGCTGGGTAACTGCAGGAAGAAAAGAGGTTTATTTGGTTCATGATTCTAGTGGTTGGAAAACTCAAATGCCATAGCCCCAGTGTCTAGTGAAGGCAGTTAGCTGCATTGTAAGGTGGCGCCCCTATGACCTCATTACCTTCTACTGGGCCCCACCTCTAAAGGTTTCACCTCCTAAAAATTTTATCACCCAATGTTGCCATATTGGGGACCAAGCTTCCAGCACATGAACCTTCGGTGGATAGCTCATATCCAAACCAGAGTGCCTACCTATGTTGTAGGAAGTCAGGTTTGATTGATGGTGCTTAGAATTCAATTTTTAAACCTGGAAATGTCCAGGTATCATTTCCTTCTCTTAGAGATAAACTAAATCCCGGAAGCATGAATTCAGTTTAGTGCAGCTCAGGTGGGGTGTTTCTGAGCACCTACCATATGCTAGATCCCATGCCTGGCACCAGAGAGACAGGCAGGAGTTTGATATAGCACTGGTCCACCTCCTTCCCTCCCAAGAAAAGGGATGTGGGACACAGGTGTAGGCAGCTGGCGAGTCCTGGCAGGGCAGGGCTGGGTGCATGGCGGTCAGGAGAGGGGGCCTGGGGAACCTCCCTGCTCCTCCCAATTCTGAACTCATTTCCCATGGGGAGGGGTTCAATCCATCCACTTGTTCCAAGAACAAGAACTTGGTCCATTTCTAACATAGAAAGGAACAAGGCTCTGGTGCTGCTGATGGTCAGCGGGATCTTAGACATGTCACTTGTCATCTCTGGGCCTCAGTTTTCCCAGGGTGAAGGAAGGAGGATGACTCTGTCGTTCCCCATTGCCACATCAGGGCCCATGTCCCCAGTCCTCCCTCCAGGGCCCATGATGGACAAGCGATCCATTCTGGCATTTTCCCTGCCCGGTTTGAGTACTGCCTCTGCATCCTTCTCAACATAGTCCTCATGACGACAGTCGATGGCGGGCACATGCAGGGTGAGCCTTGCCGTTGTAAGGGTAAAAGAAATTGAAGTTAAAGCGTAAAAGTTAAAGGGTAAAAGACCAGGTATTGTAAAGTTTCTAAGCTGCAAAGTCTGAGTTAAAATGTAAAGGATTAGGTATTGTTAGGTTTCTATGCTACCTGCAAAACCTGAAATTCCTGTAGCTGTTAAGACAATGCTTAGAACCGCCCAGTAAATATTTCCCCTGACTGCTTGGTTGTTTAATAACTGAAGGGCTCTGTGTGGTCTGAAGTTAAAGCGTAAAAGTTAAAGGGTAAAAGACCGGGTATTGTAAAGTTTCTAAGCTGCAAAGTCAGAGTTAAAATGCAAAGGATTAGGTATTGTTAGGTTTCTATGCTACCTGCAAAACCTGAAATTCCTGTAGATGTTAAGACAATGCTTAGAACCGCCCAGTAAATATTTCCCCTGACTACCTGGTTGTTTAATAACTGAAGGGCTCTGTGTGGTCTCGCACGTAGGCCTTGCAGGGCCTAAACCAATCAATTTGAATGTGTACCCCGTTTAGAACTGACCTATCACTCCCACCTGACCTGTTCCCGCCAATGAATGAACTAATCATGTTTAGGAGTTGTTGTTTGATTTTCCCGCGGTGTATAATGATTTGTTAAAGGAGACTGTGATGTATGTAAAATCCCCGCCCTCCCCCCAAAAAATGTACTTAAGCAGTGCTCAGCCCCTGCTTGGGGCTCTGGGCTGTTCTCCCTTCTTGAGTGGGCACGGAGCCCTAGCATGCTAGATCAATAAATCCC